TAATGAAAACTAAAGGACAAGGGAGAAGTTCCTTCTGAATTAAAGGTGCAAGAAGGGAATTTATATCCTGTTCCTTAAAACTGCTGGATCTTAGCTGCTCTAAGGTTAAAAGTCTCTCTCTCAGCTCTGCTGTCAAGCTGATTATAGCTTAATCTCATTTTCAAATGCCAAGCCCTGAGGATTTAGAGATCTCCCTCCCTCCCAGCTCCCCATTGACCCAGTTTTCCAAAGCCTTGCGTTTCTGGAAGGGAGCATGTTGCCTGCCACGAGGCAGATGTCTGAGTGTAGCTGCCGAGCCAGCCCAGGCACCACGGCTGCTCTGGCTCTGACAGCGCACGTTAATGGGATAAATCCCACAGAGACACACTAGTGTGACAAGCACAGCTTGCACACTGTCTGCTCCGCTGCTCCCCGTCTCGGTTCCTCGTGCTAATGGGGAGATTTCAGGCAAAGCAAAGGGCTGGAGCCTGCCATGCAGTCCATAGGTGCTGACGTCTCATCTCTTGTCATCTTGACCACCAGCTGAAGGGGTCTACGTCTATAACAACTCTACATCTTTAGCACAAGTATCGCCCCCCCATGTACCCTTCCCTTTCTCCAAGGTACCCAGCTGATGCTGCCAGCCCAAACAGGACTCCTAGGAAAACACAAATGCTGGGGCTGTAACTAGCAAGAAGGTTCGCACTGCTGGGAAACCCTCCAGAGAGCTCTCAAGCAGAGCAGCAACGCTCAGCATTATTATTCCTATTTTGCAGAGCAAACAAACCAGCCAGGCTGCCACATAGATGCCACAGTTTTTAAGTCTCCAGTTTTAAGGATGCTCTGTTTGACTCCACACAGCTTGCTGTTGCAGCCAGCACGCATCTCGCACCAACAATTTTGTACCTAGTTAATACGAGCAACGCTACGCAACATCAGCCCATTAGCAGCCTCCATCACGAGGCAGGGACAAGAACCATCACAACCACTATGCTCTGCAGGCTCGCCTAATCACACCCAGCTACTAGAGCAGAGAATCTCTTTGCTCATTTCTGTATAAAATAGAGCCTCTCTTTCCAAATCCCATCTCCATGCGACTGCTACGTTCTTGCCTCCTTAGACCTCTCTGGGGACGTAACACACACCAGAGTGCTGGTGGTGCCCCAGCAGACACTCTGGGACATTTTGGAGGGATACAAGCTCACAGTTTCCTGTTGCCCTCAAGATTTTCATGACTAAGCAGAACAACATCTTGAGAGACTTCATGTGTCAGGTCTTGGAACATGATCGAATACCCCCAGAGCCCAAACTTAAGTTTTAAGCGTTATGTGGCGACAAGACAACTTCAAGCATCTGGAATAGCACAGCTGGTTAAGCTGCCATGTAGACAAAGGCACCAAGAGACTGAAGCCTGATCTGCACATCAAACCAATTTCAGTTCTTCCTTCCCCTGGCCTAGTGCAAACTATCTGTGAAGATATTCAAGGTACAGAGGTCCTTCTCTGACTTGACTACAATAATTTTTCCCACAGCATAAGTTAACTCATAACAGGACATTCTTAAGGTAAAACATGGAAGTTAAAATTAATTAAGACTATGTTCACATTGCCATCAGAAAAGTGACATCAACTTGTATAACTTACCTGCACCTCTTACCCTGGGTGCGCTATAAGGAGCAAAGTTACAGCAACGATTTGGTTTTTCAAAGTGTGAGGGTGTGAGAATTTAAACAAAACTAGGTATTTCCTGCACCCCAGGAGGGGTGCATGGCACACTATGCCACTAACACAAGTCAATGTGTAAGGAAGGATACAGTTACCAAACAAGGTCAGGACAATGAAGTAAATAGAGGAGAACATCCCCGAACGGACGCCACCCTGCGACTCTATCCCGTGGTACATCACCGCGTTCCAGTCTTCCCCTGTCAGGATCTGCATGGCGAAATTTGAGAGAGAAGAAGAAAGGGTGACTCAAAGGCAAGACAAGGTAGGTACAGTCCAGGGGATCCAGGCAGCTTGATGCAATCCAGGACTGGTCTCTGGGGGGAAAATGGATGAGCACCTTCGGGTGGCAGACTGCAGTGTTGGACATTGACCCCCCAGCCCTGGACGGTCTCACCCCGGGCTGGATGCAGCTTTCTCCTTTGGCACGGGCTGAGGAGGAGTGAGGACCGCTGGTGAGGGAGGACCGCTGCCCCGTTCCCGCCCCGGCTTGGTTATGTGCCTGCTGCCCACTTCTGACTGCAGGCTCTCTTGCAGGCAGAGGCAGTAAAAGCCACATCCCAACACTTCACCCCCAGCAAAATTTCTCCCCCCACTCCATTTTTAAGTCATGCAGAGCTACCAGGTTTCAACAGCCCCATGCATGGCACTTCCCACAGACCTAAGAAAACTCTGACCTCCAAGCCTAGTGCCCTGAGTGGGACCTCTGCCAGCGTCAACTCCTTTCATTTACTTCACACAGAGAGGGTTTGCTCAGCTCCCCCCCTAACCCCCACACACTGGACATGCTGAGGGACTGTGTAAGAGGAGGAGGAACTCTTGCAATCCCCTTCCAGCATTCCGCTGCTCCTCAGGGCTGCAGACAGCTTTGCTGCAGCTGGTGCGTGCGTGAGCATCCCTCTAAATGCCAGGCACTGGGCAGCACAACCACCGCAAGGCTTGCCAGGGGTCTGCACCACCACGGGTTCTTCTCCAGGTTTCCTGCTTGCCAAGGCCACAAGGGCCCTCAGCCACCCAGATGGCCACAAACCACAAAAAAACCCCTAAGCAGAAGCAATAACCAAATGCGTGTGAGTGAGATGAGGGTGGCTCGAAGGGGACTCTGCTCCTCCTGCATCCTTGCACAGGGGCGAGCGCAACTGCAGCCTGGCTCTGCAGAGCTGTCCTGGCTTCAGGCGCTGGATACTGACCTGAGGCTAATTAACAAACACATAAATAATAGAAAAACTAATCATAACAAGTGAAAACACCTAAGACTCAAATAAGCCTTGTCATGCTAGAGGCTAATTTCGCACCAGTCTGAATTCCCTGCCATTCCTGTTCTTCACCAGTGACTGTAACACAGCAACATCTTGGGCAGATCAGCACTTCATCTGCCTGCCACGGCGGAGTTGAACAACAGTTACTTTTAGTGCACTAAAACATGCCCACTGGGAAGTAAAGCTCAAATTCCTAGATAGGAAATTGTCTTTCTGTTTAGTAGAAGAAAAAAAAACCCACACCAAAACCACCAAAAAAAAGCCCAAAGCATGATGTGTGTTGTAGTAATCAAGTCCCATGTGCATACAGTGTGCTCGAAACAATTGCAAATTCCAGACTAGTCATCAGCTGCTGATAAGAGAGAAAATTTCTTGCTGCAGGGTTGGTGCTGATGACAGCAATATGCTAAGAGCAAGTACAGACACAAGGACATACAGAGCATAGACAAACCTATTTCCTAAATGCAGAATCTGGTCTCAAATAATTCAGAGGCCACAATTCAGAGCCCAAGCCTAATCCACACCACTGGAGTTAGTCTGGATTTACACCAGAGAATATGAACCAGGGCACTGGGCTTTCAACTCCGGCACTCAATTATGCAGAACATCGTTCACAAACTTGCATTCACACCATTTCCATGAATTCACAACTGCTCCTGCTTTCTGGGAATAACCATAAAATGACTTCTGCTCACACAAACATTCATGGAAAGGGAAAACAGTGGGAACACTTCTAGACCCTGCAGAAGATCAGGAGCTGTAGGTATCACAAATCACAGGCTGCACATAAACAAGTCCAGCCGGTTGCGGTCTGTGTTCGAAAGTCCAACTGGATTATTTTGGAAGTGGAACAAAAACTTATAGGAAAAAAATAAAATGTTTTACGGAACTTTTGCAAAGAGATAAATAATCTAAACTAACCAGCCTGCCTGGGCAGAGCTCAGGATGTTCTCTGAGGCCCTGGCAAGAGGACGGACATTTTGACCTGGTGTCCTTCCCACTGTTTGCACTGTCACCCATCAACTGGAGGAACTACTTAAGCAATTAGGTAGCAGACCTCAAGGAGCAGAGCACATGCAGTAAATAAAACTCTTTCTGCTCTATAAAGTCTCTGTTTACAGAGGCTATGAGAACTTCTTGCTACAGGAGAGAAAATGACAGCACTGCAGAGGGAGGGGTGCAAGCAAAGAGGACTTTGGAGTAAGGCGAAGCCCAAACATATTGTTTTCCCCAGGGCTCAACACTGCTTTTAGCTGCCCCAAAGGACTGTTTTGTCTGGTGCATCTCAGCATTTAATACTTCAGCTTGGCTGAGGGGCCATCAGGTGATGGAACAAAAACAGCTGTCAAGAGGTGTTGTGAAACCCTAATGGACTAATGAGCACATTAATGGCGGGAGACACTCCGCTGTGGAGGAACAGCGCCGCACCACTTCAAAGGGCTGCCCTGGAAGCGAGATACTTTCCTGAAGAACGGCCTGAGTAAATGCAACATCCCGTCAGCTCAGTGCCATATCCCGCAGGCAGGTCAGCGCGGGCAGCCAGGGCACTCGGGCACCAAACTGAAGCCAGCTCTGCTTCGGCAGGGCACCCCTCAGCAGAGCTGAGGTTCGCTCCCATCCTGCCACCGCGACTCCTCGTCTCCTCCAGCCACCGCCGGCGCTCTGCGCTCAGCAGCCGGCAGTGCCGTTACTTACGGAGCAGCTCTCGGGGAGAGCTGACACAGGTTCTTCTGCTTTATGGGGTCTCTGTGCTTATGGACATTGTCCACACTTCCAGCTCAGTGACTGCTGGAACAGGGAGATGCAACTAGTTATTTTTCACGTGTGTATAGATATAAACGAATATACATATAGTTTCTGTTTGTATTTTGTACATACACACTCTTTGTGGCATTCAGCTCACAAAGACTTTCTTGGGAGCCAGAAGCTGGAGAAAAACACGTGATGCTTTTCAAAGGGAAATAGGGAGAGCGGGGCACAGTTGCACCCAACGCTGTGTTCAGCCAGCTGCCAGACGGACAAAATATGTCCTGGGAGTCACATGACAGAGGACTGTGATCTAGTCAGGTCTGCTGAAATAAAACAGGCTAAGGCAAGCTGCAGAAGACTTTGTTGAAGACTGCTTCTTAAACAAAGAATCTCCAAAGGGGTTAGGGACGGACGAGGTCAGGGTGTGTCTGCCTTTATTATATTTGTTCAACACATGGAATGCATTCGCTGAACGATGCTACTCTGCTCACTAGAGCAGCAACCAAACAAGCCTGCTGGCTTGCCTGAGTTTATGGAAGACGAGGTTAGGAGAGAATCCAAAGCCCATATTGAAGAAATGGTATTTGCAATTCAGGGGAGGAGGGCGGATGGACTGGGAGCAGAGGTTATTGAAATGCCTCTGCAAGGCTGCACTGAGTTAATTCAGCGCTGATGGTTGTAGCTGGGTTTCGTTCCTAGCTCTGACATTCTAGACAAACGTCATAAAACCAACAGTGTTTTTCTGCATCCCACAGCCACGTTACAGGGGTATTTTATCTCAGGAATAGAAAGGAAATATTTCAGCTAAGTATCTTCAGGAGACAGCTATAGTCCCAAAGGAAAACAACTTCAAAATTTCCAGATGCTCATATCCGGAGTCTGACGGGTTCGGTTCCGGCTCTGTGGCAATACCTTTACATTTCTTTAAGCCCTTTCTTTGATGAGTAGTAAAATACTATGCAAATATTAATCTACCATGATTTGCAATATCCTGCGAGGTAAGTACTACCAAACCTGCTTCACATCTGGAGAGAAGCAATACCCATATGAAGCTTATGCAGAGGTCATAGGACACATTTTCTTTTAGGCTTTTTTTCTCTTTTAATCCAAAATTAACACTGAAATACATAATCCGAGCCTTGCTGAGATCTAAGGAAATCTGGATCCAGGGTCAAGTCTCAGCTCGAGCCCACATCAACAGTTTGTGTCGGACAACGCTATAAATGCCAGGCAGTCTTCCACGGACCTGTGAGCGCTACCTGCACATGAAGCAGGGTGCAGCATCCCCAGCTCTCTACTGAAACACCTGAAATAACCATTTTAAAAAAGGTGTGCAGAGAGCAGCTGCAAAATTAGGCTCTTAAACCTGAGCATGGCATCTGCCAGAACTGCGACCTTCTTCCTGCCATCACATGAACTTGCCCAAGGCTGATGCCTCTTTCTGTGCTCCCCCATCGATTGTAATTCTTATCCAGCACTACCTTATCTTGAGCTATTACTGTGCAAAATGCTACATTATTTCCTCACCGCCTGGAGCTAGCTCAGGCCTCTCTCCTCATTAAACTATGGCAACCACAAGAGAAAGTGAAACAGGTCAACCACTCACTCGCTGTCTAGGATTTCCGATGGGATGATTTATGCAGCGAGGCACGTGCAAGTGTTGTCATTGCAGTGTGCAACCCCAGGCAGAGGCCTCGGAAGAAAAGAGCCTGGGCACGCACAGACCTGAAGCTCAGCACATAAATAGCTATTTTATCAGTATTTTTTCCTAGCAAAAAAGCCTTTTGCTCTAGTTTTCCTTAATTCCATAGCATAGATTTTTAATGATACATGATTGGTCAGTGTGGCAAATTACATGAGAAGGAAGGACATCCCCTTTCCTAAATTCCACGGATTTTGGGGGAAATCTTTGCCCCCTGTAAGCAGGAAGAGATGCCCAGGAATTTATTTTCTAATGCTCACCCAGGACAAGGTATGGCTTTACCTGGAATACTGTGAGGATGGCAGCAGGGAACGTATCAAAATTCGTGGTTGGTGTTTCATCTTGGAAATTGAATCTAGAGAGAAGTAAGAAATAAAAACAAGAGTAATAAGGGACAAGTAGCTCTCATGCAATCTCATAATACCCTGTAACCCAACTCAGAGAGCACTTGTTCCACCTGGCAATAACACCCCAGGCAACTGCAGCGGGGAACACGGCGTCTCTGAGAAGATGCTTACCAGAAACCAAATTTTATTCCTGAAGAAAATTCTGATGCTTTGAAATTCATTTTCACCCACAACTAAAACGAACAATCAAAATCTCAAATGATTTTGCAGAACAAACCATTCCAAGTTTTTGTCCTCAGGTGTGTATGTCAAAATTGAAATTGCCCTCTTAGTAGATCATTTCATTTTAACATTTTCAAGATAAAATAGTGATTGAAAAAAACCAACAAAAAAACCCCAAACCAACAAACCCCATGTTATTCACTTCAAATTTTATGCTCAAGTTTAAATGGTAATATTGTGATATTTCTTGCCACAAAATTCATCACAACTGGCATTTCTAATGAGAAAAATCAGATTCAACAAAACTATGTTTTCCAGCAGAAAAATATTCCAAGTGAATATATATACTGTCACCCTGGCTATCAGGGAAAAAGAATTTGCCTTTCCCCTAACAGTAGAAAAAGTGCTGCCTCCCCAGTCTATTTCAGAGGTCCCATGTGGGGACCATGGAATGACATAGGAGCTTTGAATTAGCTTAGAAAGAACTCAGCTCCAGGTAAAACACCAGAACAGGAACTATTTTCCTATAAACCAGAGAACACTTCTCAGCAGCCCAGAAAGACTGACATCTGCACCCGCGGTGTGAACACTTCAAGCCCTGCAGTCCCTCTCTCCTTAGGTATTCCAGGGGACTGCTTTCAGATTACCCCTGAAAGGACAACGATTAGACTTACTGTCCTCCAAAGAGCTGCATCCCCAGCAAAGCAAACACCACAATGAACAGGAACAGCAGGAAGAGCAAACTGATGATGGACTTCATGGAGTTCAGCAAGGAGACCACCAGATTCCTCAAGGAATTCCAGTACCTGCATTGGAGATTAAAGAAGCCAAGAGATAACATTAGTGGGAGAAGAGCCTTCCGTGAGAAACTAATGTGACCTAATTTCTTATTATTAAAAAGGAAAAGAATGGCAAGGAATATCGGCATCTTCAAACCCGCCTCTGATTGGTAAATACAGCTCAGCGGCAAAGTCTCTTACAGCACTGCAAGGGCAGAGATGGTCACCTCGGTGCACGTGTACTCATGCAGAGCAGTCATCTGCAGTGAAAGCGTTTGGTTTAGTTTTTCAGTAACCCCCTTCCTGGTATAGATTTCGACCTTTCTGCATCTTCTCATCTGGCATGGCAGTCAGCAGGGGTGTCAGAAACAGGGATGTATTGATATCATCAAGGTGAGACTGAACATAGGGACAGTGAACCCCTCCCTTCGTAAGACACAAATCAGCAATAAACAGCTCATTTCCACCAGGATGTCTTTGGGTGTGTCCTTCCAATTTATCTAATGCGAGTATCCACAAGTGGACTCAAACTCCCACATGTTTAAATATTTCCATAGATGTTTAACACACACATCCATGCACAGTAATGCCTTAAGCGTGGGGCAATTCAGCCACATGGTTTAAGCATCCAGGACTGAGCAACTGCCTCGGAGGATGAAAACAAATTCGGGACGTTAACGCCAATACGGCAAGAGGGAATGGCTCAGCCCGGATCCTGACTGACACATCCAAGTTGCATCCGGCCAGATACTGAAGTTAGTTTGCTTTTATCTCCTCCATTCCCCAAGACAGCTCCTGGCACACTCGCAGGCAGGCACGTCGAGTGACGCTGTGCCAGGGAGGGTGCTCAGAAACAGCTCTCTTTCTTGGCTTTATTGCCCTGCTGAGAACAGGCAGGGTGCATTTATATTAGGAAAACTAATGAATCAGAAAATGCAGAAAGAGCTATTAAGCACAGGAGCTCTTTAACAATCTCCTTTTGGACAGACAGGCATACAAAACAATAGGGCTGTAGGAAATAAGTGATTTAGAGCCATTTCACGTGTCCTCTGTTAAAAATTTTGAGTCTGAGACCATGGGGGGGAATTTTTCTCCAGTGATTTCTCTCGTTTCCATTGCCCAGCACTGGGAGCTGCCATCCAGAGGTGACTCCCCTCAGCAGCATGCTCTACCATCCTGCCCTGTGTCCTCCAGCTGCAGTCTTGGGGACAGACCCATGCACCGAGTTCCTTCCTGCAGTGCAGCTGTGGGTATCCAGCAGAAGGAAGCCCATGGACTTGTCTGATCTGCCGATGAGGAAAGAAGCTCAGAGCTTGAATCAGAAGAGCTGAAATGCCATCCTTTCTCTTCTCTTTGTCTTCATTTTCCTCCTCTTCCTTCCCCCAGGTGTAGCTGGGAGGACTGAACCACCCCACGTTTCTCTGGGCTGAGGATGACACAGCCATGTAGATCCCAGGAGAAGCAGGATCTTGCATTCCCATTGCACCCATTCTGACAAAAGTTGTGTCCATAATACAGTGACAGAGGTTTATGGGGATACTTTGGCCTCTCAGGAGAATATCTTCAATTGAAAAAGTTGTCACCAAATCTACTCAGGGTTAGTCCCCAGGCAAAAGGGGCCGATCTGCTCTTCTTGGAGAAGGAGGAAGGGTTTGCTGGTCACACGGCTCTCTCCTGCTTGACCCAATGGCTTCAGGCAAAATCTGCCTCAAGCAAGGGGTTCACACCTTGCGGTTAACACTTCACAAAATACATGTGGAGACTCTGTCTTGTCCTGGAACAGTGTGGTG